AGGAAATGAGAATAAAAAACATAGTAGTTTCCACAGTGCTTCTAGTGAACATTGTGAGACTTAAGTATTAACATATGGTACAGACAGTCTCATTTCAGAATGTCTTTGATAAAAGCAAGTTATTTGCTTGTAACTAGACGCCTGATGTGAAGCTACCTGAAGAGAAGCTCACCAACACCTGCATGGGCTAGGACACTCCCATCACCTGATCATTTCTTTGTACATATATCCTGTTGTGCACAAGTTCCTTGAAAGCTGAACAGGCAACCATAATAATGCAGCATAATCCCTTTCTGATGTACCAGTCATTTTCTGTACCTGAGCAAGGCAGGCTAGCCATGGAACTGCCTTGCTTATACCCATGCAAGTCCCTTTTCAATCCTATTGACTGAGTCTCTATGGTGTCAGCACAGAGGGATTTAAAAAAAAGAAAGAAAAAGGAAAAGAAGAAAAAAAAAAAGAGACATCTTTTTATCCTTTGATGTTCAGTACCTGTCAACCTAAAGGAAGATGAAGGAGGAAAAAAGCCAATTCCCACACTCCTAGAGTTTGCTGTTTCTTTGTAATGCCACTCATGGGCATGGGGGAAAAAGGCACAACCATGTTCTCCATCCTGGAGAGTTTCATACTAACTCTCCCTTACAAGACAAAGAGAAACACAAGCTCTACTCAGCACCATGCAGGGGAGAGAGGGAAGCAAGAGCCTCATGCATGCTAGTATCTTCTCTTCCCTTTGGAAGCAAGTTGTTAAATGGGAGCATCTTCACTTACAAGGGAGTTCCTGGGAACTGCCAATGTAGTTTACTCCCTGGCTTATTAAATCCAAAGATATTCCCATGTACATCCACAAGATACGAAGTACTACACAAATTTAAGACAAGGAATTGTATTCAAGGTATATTGTCCACTTAAAAGAAAAAAAAAAATCAGGAAATTAAACTGAAGTTAAATCTTGAAATGTTAGATCTGCTGCATCACATCTAGAAGCACTTAGCTGAAGATATTGCAACAATGCTCACTTGCATCAGCAGAGTATTTGGCCCTTCTCTATTTGACTCTTTTTTTAAAAATTATTTTTTAATTACTTCACTGCTAAATTTGACCTAGTGTGAATGGTGCAAGGGAAGGAGTTCCTCTCATCTTCTGGTTATCGTGCCCTAGCATGTTGCTGCAACACTGGCAACTCAATGCTTATGTCCTAGCAAAGGGGCACTCCTTATGTTGCTGGAATTCAATCAAGTTGTCTTCATCTAAAGATTTCCGAATTTTTAACAACTTATCTATTTGCTTTAGCTGCCAATGACATAGAGTTGATAGTGGCTACTGGTCAGTAACAGTAACCCAGAAAATAAGTGGAAGGATGCATTGGACTGTTCTCAGGGTAGCACAATGCAGCGCTGTAATTCACCTGTCAGAGGTGTGAGCAAAAAGACATCTGTCATTCAGACAAGCAGTCACCTACTAAAGGGGCCTCTCAAACTCTGGTCCATTCAGAAGTCAGACTTCTGCATTTTCCTACTTTAGGAACAGGGAACCTTGTGGGACAGCCGTGGTGGAAAAGGCCCAATAACACTATACAGGTTAAACTGTAAGTAGGAAGAATACCAGAGCTAATCTCTTCCTCTGTTCTTTGATTCTTTCATTCTGGTAAGAAAATGTTCACTTTATTTTTGACTTGCCATTGAGAAAATGGTAATGCGATGCATGTCTTGATAGCTAGCATGGGAGGCCAGACAGCTGTACTGAGTGTGATCCTATGCCACAGATATACCTACTGCCAGCTCTGGCAAGATAATAAAACAGCTGCATAAAAGCACCACCTGTTACCCCCCCATTCCTCACACACTGAGCTGTACTGCAGGGTAAGAAACCTAGGTCTGTCTCTGCAACTGTTGCATGAAAGTGTGTGTAAGGATAGTTAGCGATTGCTTCATCCAAAAATCTGTCAGGAAACACACTCATGTTTGCGCTAAAATCGTAAAACTTTTATACACCAATACACAACAGATCAAAACTATATTTACTGAATCACAGTTAGTATTCTGCTAGAGCAACAGAAGAAACATGTCTCTTGAAAGGGCATGAAATATACTGAAGGTGATGAGGAATATGGCATACTGGCTTGATCAGCTTTACACCTGGTATCATTCAAAGAGAAAGCATTCCTCCTGCCTACAATGGCACAGCAATAAATACTTGAGGAAAGATCAAGCCAAACCATTTCAAATCATCATGTTGATGACTTCCCAGGCCTGTTAGTTCTGCTATGTTCTGCAGTAGTGACAGGCAGGCATCTCAGACCGACAGGGCAAAAGTTTCTCCTAAGTAGCATGTTCCTACATTCACAACCGAAGTAAACCACATATAAGCAAATTTTTATTTTTTTTAAAACTTTTATTTTACTTGCACTCCCTGCAGGGCAGAATAATGCAAGCTACCAGCTTACTAGTAAGAGGAAGCTTCCACCATGCCAGTATCTGGAAGTTTGGTCTGCTCATCTGTGTTGGTATACAGTTGCCAATCATCTGATTTTGCCAGGGCACAGTCATAACCACTTACCTTTGCAGACCATCATCAAAGCAAAAGACTGCTTGTCCAAGGGGTACCACGTTATGTAGGCATAGCCATAGAGAGGAGAATCTTTTGCTATGCATGCTAGGGTATCAACAGGTCTCTTAGGGAAGTGTGGGAATGTTGAAATAGTTGACATTGTCAACCTAGGTGTTTGGGCTACAGCACCTCCTGCCCCTTGTCCACATGTCAGACTGTCTCTGTTCTTGGACAGAGACTGAGCAGGGAAAAAACCTCTAAGCCAGAGAGGTTTTTGTTTGTTTGTTTGGGCATTTGGGTAGGTTTTTCTGAAGTACCAAATGTTCATGGGAGTTAAGGCACCTCTAGATCTTTAAAAATCTGGACTGAAATATGATTACAAAAGTAAACAACATGTAGCAAGACAGATGCATCCATCGTTGATGGTTAGACTCGATGATCTTGAAGGTCTTTTCCAACCTAAATGATTCTATGACTCTATGATTCTAAGTACCTAAAGTGTATTCAAAAGTAGGGCTTGGTGATTCTAAAAATAGTATCGTTTGTCCCCGATCAAAGACCATCCATTTCCCTGTGCTATCCCAGAGACAGTAAGTGGATAGTAAACTAAATATATGCATTTGGTTGTACATCTAATAGAATGTTTACCAGAGCTATTTTGACCTGAGGATTTTCTGGACATCTGTACCATTCACCTAAACTTACAGCACAAGACAGAGAATCGGAAAAAGTAAAAACCAAACCAAAACACACACACACACACACAAAATTTCTGCCTAGAAAGTGCATGGTATATGATAAAAAAAATCTCTGCCCTGAAGGTTTGAACCAGTATGAGACACATAGTAGTACCTCAAACCTTTGATTTTCCCCCCATCTACAAAAGAAACTATCAGAGTTTTAACATTTTCCTTAATACTGATCACCAACTTAACAGCATCAAGCAGGATATATGAGAGTCTCAAAAATGGTTAGCAGTTTTGCCACTGAGATCTTGTTAGTTTAATTGGGCTGGACAGATGGGACTTTCCGCAAACAGGCTTTCCTACCGACTTCTCCTTGACTTAGTGTTATTTCAGTTTTTATATTCTTCTCCCTGTCAAAGTTCTTTTCCGTGGCTGCGATGGAAACTCTAGGCCTAGAAGCACTAGAGCACTTAGCTCCTCCCACCGCTTTCCTAGACAGAGACAAGACCATGAATAACCTTACCCTGTCAAAACAGGTCCCCCCGGTCATGCTGTAGTGAGAGCCCAAGCCAAGAGGTTTTGAAGCCAATGGAAATCTCTCTCTAAATGTTGCAGGGATTTATACTGCCCTCAAATCCAAAAGATGTTAAGAAAGAATTAAGGCTGGAAAACCTTGGCACCCTAATTAGTAAGTTACACATTAACATCATGGTGAAGAGCTGACATCATGGAGGCAATTAAAAAAGCTCATTTAGGAGGCTATAGTGCAGAATGGCAGCTGTGTGGATGACTGACAGTGGATACCTCTGTCACTTTGAGACTTTCATAGTCTATCAACTGCTGCCTTCATATTGAGTCAGAACCTCTGGTATGTCCAAGTTAGCTGAACCTTCAAGCATCCCGTTATTAGAAGGTTATTAATAAGCAACAACTCCTCACTCCAACTTTTGTCTAGGCTTTCTTTGGCTCTACACTATGCCTCCTGATCACCTTATACAACTATTATGAAATATCTACAGTAATACAGCACATCCTAATCTTGTCTAGTTAAGGGGAATTGCAGCCAATAAAACACTCTTTTTTAAAAGAAAAACTGCTAATTATTTTTGCCTTTTAAGAACAAAATGGTATTGATGTGATCAACAAAACAGGTGAACACAAAGGCAGCCAGGCTTTTGTGCTTCAGATACATGCAATATTAGAATACAATACAGAAAGGCAAGAAGGAATTAACAGGCTCATTTTGGTCCACTGCATCTTTGAGAGATAATACCCCACACCTCTCCACCTGCCACCCTCGCAGATGATATCATCATCATGATGCAGCATGGACAACACTGGAATCAGGGTACTCATTCCCACCTCTCGGCTTGGAAATTGAAGGGAAAAACCCTTTCACAAGCTTCCTGCAACTGTAGGTCCCTTTGGAAACTGCTCCAAAAAGGGTCCAAGACCTAGTGCTTGTCAAGTTAATTCAACTCAGAGTGATACCAGCAGGAATTAAAAAGCGTATCCTCAGTTGTTATAAACTGAGAAGGCTCTTTGTACGAAAGGACCTCTATGGCATTACTTCAGCTGTGGAGCTAACCCTTTAGCAGACAGTCTGTGCAGGACTGCATGTGTTCTCACTACAGAGAGGGGAATCACCATGATTTCCACGTGCATCTGCATGCGGCTGTCATGCATTCTGGATCAGCAAAGGCAGGCAGATACAAGCTGCACTGATCCCAGCAAATGAGACCATACTTTTGGGAAGGGTTATACCTTCTCTTCATTGCTGATGTTCCGGGTGGAAGTTTTCCATGTGATGGAAGGGATTGGGTCCCCAGATGCCTCACAGGTCAGTGTAATCTGATCCTCCAGTTCCATGGCTGTTTTATTCTCCACATAGGTGATTTTGGGTTTTGCTGAAAAGAAGCAGCAACCTTCTTTCAGTTGGTGCTCAGAATGAAGCTTGCCTGTCAAGACCAATGTTTGAAACAAGCAACACTAGGGGAAAAAAGGCTTTTGAATTGGCACAGGTTTACTGCCACATGGGAAAGGGAGCAGAGTGACATTTGACAAGAGGGTACCTCCTTGCAGAACTAGAAGACCTTTTCTACAGATGCTTACAGCTGAGGTTTGTAGGAGAGGACTAGAAGTGGATATATCTGAAGTAGAACTCATTTAACAGTGTACAAATGATCAGTCCCTGCAATTATCAGCTAAGTCTTCCACCTCTCTGCTTTCTCTGCCCCAAATTAGCCTTTTCATAAGCAGCTTTGTCAAGTGGCTGCAGAGGGATGGGACAGGGAGAAATATATTCCTTAACACTCCCAGATTCATGGAAGGTAGGAAAGCTGCTGATTCATTCCTGCAAGTTTGAGGTCATTCACACAGTGGTCGGGTGGAGTTCCCCTCCCTGTCCAGGTTATAGCCCACTGAAGTGCTAAAGCCCTTTTAATAGCAGCTTTGGTTGGATTAGGATTCAGCCCTCTGGGCCTGGAAGATATTTCAAGTAGCATGTGAATCTCACACCACTCCCTGCACAGGACTGCATTTCTTTTATCAGAAAGAAAGCAGAATGGAATTGGCATCTGTTTCAGACACATACACAGACTCTGTTTTGCCCAACATGATGGCAGAGGTGCACAGCATTACTTGGGAAAGCAGCAGCTCTGGATAAGCCACATCAGGCATTATCTGGGATAAGTAGGTTACTTTGAGCTTGCTCTAGTGAGCTATCAATAGCCAACTGGATTGGAAAGGAGTGGATGGTAAGAGCATGTTTACCAAAGACTTTGAGATGAATGGTGGCATCCTGCTCGCCAGCCTTGTTCTCAGCAATGCAGATGTATTCTGCTTCGTCACTCTTATCAACCTTCTTGATAATGAGCTCAGACCCATCGTAGTTCAAACTGTACTTCTCTTCATCATCGGCCTCTTCTATTGGCTCTCCATCCCTGCAGGCACAAAGCACACTGGCTGTGTTGGGGAGGAGCAGCAGTCAAAGGTTATTTGTTTTGGGCTTGTTAATGCTACAACCGCATTACTACACTGAAACTCCTCAGGCTGAGAGGGACCACCACCTTTTTCTTTCTCTATGGGCTGCAAAGCTTACATTTTGATCTATTCCTAATCCCTCCTGCCTTAGGGCTCTTGGCAGCTGAAACTTTGCCTCCTGACACACGTCATAGCCTATATACAAGAGCTATAAACACCATTGAAGGTAGCTTCTGTCCTTGCATTTCAAGGCAGTATTCCAAGTTGTCATCAGCTTTTTCAACATTACAACTTGTCCTCATAACCTTCGCCAAAGGCTACACAATTTCAAGAATAGTATACCTGAAGTCTGTATCACTGCCTGACAGTGAAATTTAGACCTGATGAAATGAAGAGAAAGACTTCAGATGCGGGTCTCCTGGCATGACAAATGCAAGTTACAGCATCCGCTTTTGCCTAAGTTTTACCACCAGTGCAACAGATGATAATAAACTGACCCACAGGACAGGTCTGGTCAGCATGAAGCTTCATCTGTATTTGCATTTTGACAAAGGATGCAATGGGACAGTTAAAAATTGCTGGGTTTACTGTTATTCTTGTTTTTCCAGGAAGCTGTACTGGTTTTGGCTGAGACAGAGTTAATTTTCTTTATAGTAGCTCATATGGTGCTATGTTTTGGGTTTGTGACACAAACATTGATAACACAATGATGTTTTAGCTATTGCTGAACAGTATACACACAATGTCAAAGGGTTTTCTGTTTCTCACACTGCCCTGCCAGTGAGTAGGCAGGGAGTGCACAAGAAGTTGGGAGGGGATACAGCTGGGACAGCTGACCTGGCTAAACACCTACCTGCCAATGGGAAGTAGTGAATTAATTCCTTATTTTGCTTTGCTTGCATGCACAGCTTTTGCCTTATCTATGAAACTGTCTTTATCTCAAGCAATGAGTTTTTGGATGTTACCCTTCTGATTCTCTTCCCCATCCCACTTGGGGCATGTAGTGAGTGGCTGTGTGGTATTTAGCTGCCTACTGGGGTTAACCCACAACAGAAGCTAACTGCAATTCCATTATGAGGCCATTTTTTCTCTTGTGAGAAAAATGAATTAATCTTATTCCAGTTAAAATGTTGCTTTCCCTCCAGCCTGGTTTTCCAGCCCTTGGTGAAAACATCCATGCTCACACACAGTCAGGACATTGCACACAGCATCTTACTTTGTCCACGTCATGGTTGGCTCAGGAAAGCCATCAGCATCACATGCTAAAGTGACAGACTGGCTGAGGTTGGCAGTGGCATTCATGGTGCTCTGCCTGGCACGCACAGAAGGAGGTACTAGAAGAGAAGGAATCCACATTGAAGTTAGAAAGGACAGAAGATGTGAGCAAGAGTGAGCCCTGGAAGGCTCACTGTAAATCTCTGCAATGCACACAGATGTCACTAGTAATTCAAACCCTTATACCATCACGTGCAGGTTTCAATCAACAGGTTTGATGCATGAGCTCTCCAAGGCAATCAGCACAGGGAAGGAAGGGCAGGGGGTGGGGAGACACACAGAAAATCAGTATTGTGGACAAACCCACTTGTGGGTCCCAACAAGATCAATACCTCACTCTAAGACATGAGACACTTAAGGTTTCTCTTGACATGATAATTTCCTGTAAACATCTGGTAAACACTCAGTCAATTTCAGGGACATTTTTATTTGACACAGCAGAGAAAGATTAGTAAGCTGATGGTAAATCATGAGTGTGAATCTAAAGTAACATTTCCATCAGCAGCCTGGAGTGCAGGTGCTACATATCCTGCTCCCGTACTAGCCTTACTCTAAGCTGCTCACCATTTACGATGACCTGAATATCTTTGAAGTTGATCTCCCCACGAGCCAAGATCCGGCCCTCACAGCGGTATGTCCCTTCATCTGTTTTCTTGATGCCCCGGATCTGCAGGTAGTTGTTGGACAGCACTATAAATCGAACTAGAAAAGACAAAAGGAAAGCTCACTGCAGGTAACAGGTTCTTCTTCTCTCCTTGCCCTTTCTGGGTTGAGACAAGGCTTAGCATAATAAAATATCCCCTCCCATCATTTAATGGAGATGCTCCTGTAACTGGATCTGACATTGCCAAGAAAGAAACCAGATGTGGGTAGCAGGCAAATTGCTCTGGTGCTTTAAGTACACAAGGAGAAATAAACAGATAAATATACACACACAAACACATTTACACTTAATTAGCATCAGACAACAAGCAATTTGAAACTTGCCCCTCTCGCCCAAGGGTGGCAGAGTTCAAGTCTTACTACAGTTCCCTTGTGCTAGCAACAAGCAGATGTGGGAAACAGCTGAGGCACGAATGCTCAGCTGGAATCAGGGCTCCAAAGTCTCCTCTGCCAGTAAAATACCCCTCTGGGCATGACAGTCTGCAGCATTTTGAAAGAAAGAGAAAGGTTCTTGCAAGAAGCTTTTAGCCCCTTTTCCTTAGGATGACTGGAGAGTGTCATAACATGCAGCTTTTCTGTCTGATGGCATTTCTTTTACTCGAAATATTTTTCTAGCATTCCTTGGCCTATTCCAGTGTCAAAGCCTGATGGCCATTTCTGTGGAAACATTATTGCCCTGCCACTGCCAAACAGCACCCTGAATAACTAAATTTACATCCTAAGACCTAGTGTTAGGTACAAATTGCTTCTCTCCTCCCTTGTGACCACCACCATTTTGTTCTTCTGAAACCCTTGTATGAACTTGATTTGAGCCCTGATGAGAGATGGACATTTGACCCCTGAATGGACAAGCACCAAGACATCTCTTGTGCCTTACCATCTTTTTTTAGGATAACATCCCTGCCCTTGTGCTTCCAGATGATGGTAGGAGGCAGCGAGCTGACCACATCACACACAATCACAGCATCATCCCCTTCCTTGAATTCCTGAGGAGTGGGAGCATTCTTGAACATCAGCTTTTCTGAAAACAACGGAAGGAGAAAGTCACTGCAGCTTTCTCGGCACACGTCAAGCTCTGCTCCTGACTCAAGCCTGAGGAAAGCAAAGAAACTCCAGAGGACATTTTCTCCAGAAATCTTCTTGTTCCCAAGTGGACGATAAAGGTGTGCCTGACTCAATGCACTACACTGCAACACAGGAACCCCATTTTCTAGCCCTGTCTCCCAGGCATATCAGTGGGCCAAATACTCTACCTAGCTCACCAATTTGTCCACACTGCAAAGAGAAAATGTGAACTTGGAACTGCTCAGCTTCCCAGCAGGAAGCAGAGGAGCTGCTATCATGGCTCTGCTGATGGCTTATTATAACCCTTCTGAATGTGTGATTCTCTTTACTGAACACTAGTCTTATCTCATAGCATGCCTGTCATCCACAAAAGCTGCTCTCTCTGCTTACTCCTCCCACACATTTATGATGCACCAGAACTTTCTCCTTCTACCCCTTCTCTCCTGTCTTTCAGAAGAATTTAAGCAGTAGACACACTGGTAATGCCCTGACAGGCCAAGGTCTTAGCGCCCACCTACCCCTCCAAACCAAGAAAGGGGAAGCCTGCATCTTCTTAACATCCCCTTTCTTTTCACCCTCCTGCTTCGCCTTTAAAAGCAGCCTTTTCTAGGAAGGTAAAATGATTGCCTCCCTAATCTTGCCTCATACATGTGCAAGGTAGACCAGAAAATAGCCTCGGAGCCGCTCTCTTACGGAAAATTTTCACATTGACGGTGGCCTCGGAGTCTCCCTCCTCCACGCTACTGACAACACATTTATAGATGCCAGCATCATCAATGTTTGCGTTGTAGATGGTGAGGGTGGAGGAGAAGTCATCATTTCGCACCACTGAGATGCGCTGTTGGTTCGGCGTCAGCTTCTCACCATTAGGGGAAAACCAGGAAATGTCTTTGTATTTGGCCTCCCCTGCCACTAGGGACAATAAGAGAAAACAGAGCAAATTGAAATGAATTCCCAACAAATCTGCACAGAGGGAATTAAATACAACCAGTAGCGCTATGCGGAAGACTGACCCAGGGGAAAGGCTTCTGGTACTTGAGAAGCAACCAAAGAAAATTCTCTCTCACAGCACTGTGAATGGTCAGCTGCTGTCCTGCAAAAACGATATTAGGTTGGTTTTATAATCTAAAGGGGTACACTCATTTTAGCCCAGAATGGCCTTCTGTGCATCCTGGGATCCCATGTCCCAGACCCTCCACTACAAAGATCAGCCCAAGAAATGAAAATCTCTTCTTGCTTCGGCTCCTTCATGTTTTCAATAAAAACCTGTATTTGCAGGCTGGGCTACTTTGCACACCAAAACGGTGACATTGGTGTGGCAGCAGTTCTGGCATTGATCAGCTTAAACCTCCTGCTACATACAGTGTGAATCAGAATTGTTATTAAGTGGTTCCAGGCTGTCTCTTTGTTGCAGCTCACGTCTCTGCATTCCTCAGTGTGGCTTTGTTATTTGGGAGAAACTCCTATTATTGGAGGGGCTTTAATTGATCCCACAGTTTTCTGAATGTAAATATCATCACAACAGCACTTGCTCAGAGCATACTTTCATTTTTAAAGCAATGGCATTAACAAATTCCTTTGCAGTTAAGCACTCCTGAATCACATGACCTCATTACTAGTCCCAGCCAGTATGCTCCTGAGGAAGTGTGGCCCTCTGATGGCGTTTTGCTCCCAGAGTTCATTGCAGCACCTACTTGCTCTGTGTCATGCTTCAGGATGCTATCATGTCAGTGCTCCAACATACTAATTCCTCCCATTAGAAATCAGGCCAGCCGCTTTCAGGAGAACCTCTGAAGAGGACATGTAGATGCTAATTTGGAAAATGCCGGGGCATTTGTGCCAGCACTGCACCATGTTGTGCAGGAGAACAGCCCAGGGAGTTGGTGGCCTGAACAAACAGTAAATTGGCTCACAAGAAATACAAGTTTTCAGCAGCATTAAAATCCGTAGTTGCAGAAGTAACAACTCTCAAGTCACCTAGCACTCCCATTACTGCTGTGAGCAGTTGATTAGAGAAATTACTTGGAAAAACAACAGGCTTAATTCAAAAGATCAAAGAGCTGTGGAATGATGCAAAGTGCCACTGTTGTGGCTGTTGCTCAAGCTTAGAGACAACACTTCAGTACTTGTTTTTTCATTTTTAAATCTGTTTGCTGGAGCTGCTTTCTGTTGCCAGCTCTCAAGGGAGAATGCATTTACTGTTTCCAGTAAACAGCATGTGTTGCCTTTACTCCTCAGCCTTATAAACCATAAGGGCATATGAGAAAGAAAGAGCAAGAGATCTTGCAGCTAGACCTGGCACTGGAGCTTTTACCCCCAAGTTAATACGCTGATTGACCTTCCCAGCAAGCCCAGACAGAGACAACTGATGCCATAAGCCATCACTCACCTTGACATAAGAAGAACTTAGATTCTCCAACGCTGATCTCCCCCTGGCTTGGAACAATGTCCACTTGTAGTGAGGCTGGAAAAGAAATGAGCATGCAAAAGATCGTTAGACAATAGGAGTGGTCTTCAGCAAAAAAGCTTTGCCAGCCTTCCAATCCCATGGCTCCTTTACTCATCCAATGGAAGAGCATAGGGTCAAGCATTCTTGGCTTCAGAACTGTTGCTCTTTATGAGTATTTATATGAATGTGCCATGGACTCCTGAGAACCCAAAAGAAGTTGCTAACATTCAGAGTTGCTTCTAGCCCTTCATAAAACCACATGGAATGATACAGAGAGGGCTGATTTACATTCAAATCTCTACCACACTGCACTACTAGGGAGCGCGCTTGGTGTGCGCACCAGAACATCAAACAGCTTGTAAGGACTCCTCTGAATTCAAACTGGAACTGGCTCAAAGTTGTATCCTGGCAGTAAATACAAATTATCTTTGCTTTGGAGACTACTTGTTGCTGTATGTGATACTGTATTCATATAAGCCCCAATTACCAACCATCACAAACGCAGAATGGAAGTCACTGGGTCCTTGATCTCCTAACTCTGATCTTCTGGTGAGAAACGTAGTCCAAACAGCCAGCAAATCAGAGATGTTTATGGCAGACAGAGCACACCTGGATTAGGAAGGAAATTTCTTCCAGTATATACTGACAAGGACTATTGACAGTTTGTGATTTCTGCCTTCACAGTACTGGCTGAGACTTGCTTCCAAGTTCATCCAGGCACATTTCACCTAACTCCCTCCTACTGCAGAGGTGAAAATATTAGCAATACTTTGGTCTCTTCCAATGTCTTCTCATGGCATATCACCAGTGTTTTGGGGTTTTTTTAGCTTTTTTTAGTTGTTTTCTTGATTTTTTTTGTTTTTTATTTTATTTTATTTTTAAATAAGAGACTGAAGGTGTTTTGGCAGCAGAGATGGAGCAGATGTTCCATGGACCTGAGTGAAGCATCTACTACATGCTTGTCTGGAATTGAGGGAGCCTAGAAGTGAAAGATATTGTACCTTCTGTGCTCCCTACAACTGAATCCAGCACAGCCTCGAAGGAATCATTTAAAAATAATCCAAGTTAGATAATAATTCCACAGAGTATATTTGAGGATACAGTTGCTGAAAAAAATCAAAATGATTCCCAGACATTTTCAATCTTCCTTCTAACATCTTTAACTCATGTGTCTTGTCTGAGGGTACTCCCTCGCCTTCCTTGTACTTTTCAATGAAGTACAAGTTGTCCTTCTAGCTCCTGCATTCAGCCTGTTTTATTTCTAGGTAATCTAATTTCTCTCAACTATACTACTTTAATATAACTCAATCTCAAACAGAACTGCAAGTACAAAGAGCCAAATATAATAAAAGGCTAAAGGTTTATTAGATTCAGTGCAGTGAGGACTAAATAGCCTACTTCTATAGGCTCATTTTTGTTGTTTTTCTACAAATCTTTCCAACAACTGAATTCTACATTTTCAATCATATTTCTGGGGTGCTCTTCCTGGGAAGGTGTCTGCTGTATGGACTGAGAGGAAATCTTAAATGCCTCAAATCCAGAACTCTGAGTTCCTCCAGACCAGATTTCTGCTTTGCAGTACTATCTAAAACATTTATCCTTCTACATTACAATGGGAGTAGATTTGAGCATAGACAATATTACAAACTCAATTAATATCTTTGGGCAGCAGCTGCAGCAATGCACAGTGATGCAAATATTCCAGAATAACATTACAGTAGTTTCCACTATGAACACTTCAGAAGCTGGGGGCATCAGCAGAAGATAGGCACCTTTTAATAATGGGACCTTTCTACAGTGTTTTCAAATTATCAATTAAACTGTCTTTTATGATCTTGGAGATCTTTTAAGATCTTGGATCTTCAGCATGTGAGTGATAGCTCCCGTTTAGAAATTAAATTTACAGAACCAAGAATCCTTAGTCTCACCCAAATGAGAACAATTTATTAAGGAACATTTAGAGCTCCTGGGTGAACAGTTAAATGTTTGTTAAAGTTCAGAGGCTCTGGTAACTGCTGCTGTAAAAGCTTTCTCACCTTCACTCATAAAGTAAAAAAGAAAGGCCAACATCGACAACAGAAGTCCAAAGTTCAGTTTTTGAATCCATATTTAGGTATCTAAATTAAAAGTAGGGCGTTCAAGAATAACCAACCTCTCTGAGCAGCTCTCTAAGTAGGGCAAGTCTCCTATCTCAATATCTAAGCACAGTTTAGGAGCCTACATTTGGAGTCCCACTACTGAAAAAAAAAAACCAACACACTCCCCTCCACCCCCCCAAAAAAACCCAAAACCCAAACATACTTTTTCCTCATTTATTTACAAAAGTGAACCTGATTAGCATTTAATAGACAAAGGAGAAGGAACATAGCATTTTGGAAGTGTCATCAGAAACCAAAAGCAAAAAGTCAAAGATGCTGAATTTATTAAAACAATCGTGTTTTAGTACAGTAAGGGGAGAATTAACAATCACAACAAAGCAAGTTAGACAGCCAAGATGAAAGCTAACCAGATTTCTGCTCTGTGTTGCATATAGTCCAGTATGGCTACTTATTTTCTGATCTGAATTACATTGGTACTAAACAAGTAAGAAGGGAAAGCATACCTCCCCATTTTCATGTTCATTTACAATCAGCCTTCCACAATGCATATCCAAGCATGCCCAATGCCCTTTTCCTCTGGCAACATCACTGCCTTCTTCATAGCATAAATTATGAACCATTAGGCAGAAAATGTAATTGGATTCTGGCTTTCCTCCAGCTATGGCTTAATGCTGCAGCAGCTCTGTGGCCTAACAAGTCCAGGTCAAGTATAAATTTCAAGAGGCCAAAATAAATAGGTTTTATTTTGAAACTGCAGCCACTAGCTTGCAGAAAACAGTCATCTTAATCAAGCTATTCCTCTACCCCATGTGGCAAGAGCACTTCTCAGCAACTTTACTGCAAATATTTCGTCCATCACCCTCTGTGTTTTCATGCTGTAGTGCACAAGAATCCTTCTCTCAGAGCAGCTAATTTTACCTCCAGACCACAGGAGGCATTAGTTTTAGCTGCCAAACACACCTGAGTTTTTAAGAAACATGCACTGCTTCAGAAATAAAAACCTGTTTGTATGTGCCAATGGCAACATTCCTTACAGTACTTGGGAAACAGACATGGACCATGGGTGTTAGATGTTAAGTATACAGCTATACACAGAATGAAGGAGTGCTGCCTGCCATCATTAAAAAGGACTTTAAGTATTAGGATTTTCTGATAAGGTGTCTGAGCACATTTCTTTAGCCAACAACCATTCTGACACAGCATTTCTCTTCATAAGTAAACTCTGCAAAGGATAATAATAGTGCCAGGTCCACGCCACTTTTCTAGTTTTACTCTCACCAGATTTTAGCAGGCTATACTGATAGACATTAGTATTCCATCTCAAAAAAAATGGGATACAGCAGTAAACAGAAACAACCCAGCCAAGATTCAATTGAAACCAGAGCTCATGAGCACTGTGTGTTCTAGTTCTGGCCAACATTTGCATGTATGGCTGTGTATCTTGCTTAGCCAAGAGGCTTTCAGAAGCAGCTTTCAGCCCCTCTTGGCCTGCCCAAGACACTCTCCTGAGCCCTGCACTTTTTATCAACTGGGAACACAACGAAATTGTGATTGAATTCCCTCACAGCACTGCCTTGGAAAACCAGACCAGTCCAAGGAAGGGCATTTAGACTAGTCATCAACTTACTTTCTTCTCAGCCAAGCACCGCTAGCAAACAGTGGGGTGCTGGTAAAATGGCTTCGAGCTAATTGAGATCTAATATAAATTCATACCCTTTTTTTTTTTTCTTTCCTTTTTTTTGCCACACTACACTATATAAATACACCAATGGGCCTCTTGTACACTTTTGAGTTGCTGCATGCTGGGAAGGCAGTGGCAAAGGCTAGGGTTATTAATGCCTTTCATTCTATTCTCAGGTGCTTTCTGTTACAGCTAGAAATGAGGAAAAAAAGGCTCTGTGTAAAGCATTGAACTTTTCATCACCCCAGAATTCAGCATTTGTGCTCTACCTTACATCTTTTTTATGCATGTCTGTGCCACAGTAGATGCAAAGAATAGGAGGAAATCACACAACCAGGAAACATCTTACTGTAAATGCAGCCAAAAGGGCCAGGCAAGAGATCTGAGCCAAGGCAACAACATCCAGCTCCCAAGATTTTCCCTCATTTTTTTTCTAAGGGCTCAGCTCCTTCTATGCATTAAGAAGGGCAGGTTTTCAAGAGAATGAAACCTAGAAACCACCTGTGGGACACAGGAAGGCAAAACTTTTTGGAGTCTTAGAAATGAGAGAAGGAAGGACATCCTTGGTTAGGCCTCATTCAGTCAGTACTCCCTCTGCTCCACCAGCTGCAAAGTTACCATTAAATCTCCTAATTACTGGCCTAAGTAATAGAATTTCTGGAAAGGTTACGCAGAGGGGCAGCAATTCCTACACTACTATTGCCCCTGTATGTCAGGGCAGTCCCTTCAACCATGACACGAGGGAGACAGACAAGAAACCTCCTGATGTTATTACTAACACTGGAAATGCACTTTTCAAACCTAGCAATTACCATGACACAGAAACTGTGACCTCATGAGTAGCAGGAACCAGAGAGCCAGTATTAACAAATCTACTTCACACTACACTTCAGTTTCATTAATCTAGTACTGGGAACAAGATGCTGAAGTACTCTGTGAGAGGATCAGGTAGGTCAGATGCACACCGTATATCTTGTGACTTTTCTTGAAGGAGATCGCTGAAACATACAGAATTGTATCTGCATCGCTGGCAGCTTAGGGCCTAGGTAATCCCTTTTACAAGAACATACTAACCTGAAAAATCTTCTCATTGATAGATATTTCCTGCTAACCAGACTTCATGAGCTGACTTTTGAGCAAGTTACATGACACAAACTTCTGATACAAGCAGAAAAGTGGTGTGATTGCTGCCTCTGTACTTGTCCTGATTTCAGCTGGGATAGAGTTAATTTTCTTTCTAGTAGCTGGTACAGTGTTGTGTTTTGGATTTAGTACAAGAATAATGTTGATAACACACTGATGGTTTCAGTTGTTGCTAAGTATTTCTACTACGTCAGGGACTTTTCAGTTTCTCATGCCCAGCCAGCAAGAAGGCTGGAGGGGCACAAGAAGTTGGGAGGGGACACAGCCAGGACAGCTGACCCAAACTGGCAAAAGGGGTATTCCATACCATGTGACATCATGACCACTATATAAACTGGGGGGAGTTGGCCGGGGGGGTGGTGGTGGTGGTGGTGGATCACTACTCAGGAACTAACTGGGCATCAGTCAGCAAGTGGTGAGCAACTGCACTGTGCATCACTTGTTTTGTATATTCCAATTCTTTTATTATCATTATTGTATATTTTTTTTCCTTTCTCTCCTATTAAACTGTTCGTATCACAACCGATGAGTTTTACTCCCCTCCCCCCCGATTCTCTTCCTCATCCCACAGGGCGGAGGGGAGTGAGTGAGTGGCTGCGTGGTGCTTAGTTGCTGGCTGGGGTTAAACCACAAGAGTACTAAACACAGTAACTTCATTATTGCCTTGTTCATCTACTAGCAGTCCATAGGCACTGTTACATACTATTTTGTCATATTTAAAACATGTTATCTCTGTGCAGTGTACAAAACAACAGGGATGCCCCTCAAGCACATCTTTTCAAAGGGCTCAGCAATATACAGTATTCTGTTCACACAGTTTGAAGAAAACCAACAGAACTCAGTGATCTATTGCACATTAGGAAATGGGACTGATTTAGAAGGTACACATAGGTAGTTGTGTGGCAGATAACATGCTACAAGCTTGTATTCCAGTGGTACTTTGCTCACATGTCCATGGTTCTGGGTCACTATCATACTGCTGGGACAACCTCTGTATTTCTATTTTAAGATGCTTTCCCTGCTTTCATCTCTCCTCTACCATTCATTTACCTCCCTCAACGGACAAGCTGTAAAACCAAACAAAAAAAGGCCTCCCCTCAAATGCTTATTCTAAAACAGAGGGAGCTGACACACGTGAATCTACACCCTTTACACTTGATTTACCTTACCCCAGAAAAACCAGATAAGGCCAGTGTCATTCAACAAACTGCTGCTGTCAGAAACACTAATTTGGTCTTTTAAAATGTCAGTGTCTTGTTGAACGCTGCTATTAAACAGTGACAAGGTGACAGTCACTGGCAGGCCATGCTATAGTATTAAGCTGGCTTGGGAAATAGTGCAGAATATCAGTAACGGTGCTAGGCTGGCCCTGGAATAGAAGATTGCAGTTACTATAGTATGCTGTGCTTTTGAGAGTACCTGCTACTTTTGTCTGTTCTGCTCATTTAGTGTCCTGCACAGAAGGTGAATTACAGAGCTTCCATCCAAGCAAGGAATACTTCCTCTTTAATTCTTTCAACCCAACAGGGACACTCCACAGAGTTTATGTTCTCTGCATACCTATATTGGACATATCTGAAAACACACAGGCACAGCTTTAAATGTACATACTGATACTATGAGAGTGTTCTGCACCAACACAAAGCTACACTTAGATCCTACTGCTAAGCTGACAGAAATGGGGGATCCTTAGCAGCAGCAGCTTCCAAAATAGTATCCAATAATTTCATTACACTCTAAACATAGAGGGCTGGGCATAGCAGATTTCCTATAGCAACCCATCCATCCTATGAAGGGCACTCTTGCAGGGCCTTATAGAATTATCTGTGCATTTGTCTTAACCTCTTTGTAATTTAGGACGTTAAGGTCACATAAAGTATCTCAACAGGCATCATCATTATTTTTCTCCAAGTTGTTCTGTCCAAGCTTGCTACAACATTAGCAACTCCATAAACTCAATCTTTATTCAAAGGCACAAGTCACATACTGAGGAGTTCCCCAATTTGCAGTGACACAGTGTGCTGCTTTTGGCTGGGACACAGTTCGTTTTCTTCATAGTAGCTTGTATGGGGCTAGGTTTTAGATTTGTGCTGGAAACAGTGTTGATAACTCAGGGATGTTTTCGTTACTGCTGAGCAGTGCTTACA